TAAAAAAATTGGAGATTCTTAAGCCGGGGGGGGGGGGGCTCTTAGTGTCATGGAATGAGGGAGGCGTTAAATGAATGAAACTGCACATTCGTCTAGCAAAAGAATTTGAAATTTTCGCTCGATTTTTTCGCTTTTAATGATGTTCGTACAAGGCTTCAGACGAGGCGTGGAACAGACAACTTTTGTCGACCATATTAGTATAGCCTCTGTATAAACGTCAAGTGTGCGTCTGTCTGGTGGGTTGCGTTCTTATCAATAGAGCGTTAACCTGAATATATAAAGCGAGATTTATCGCAATTCTGGTCTGCGATTGACGTAAATGCACATTACAGTATCAAAGTTATCTAACGGGAAGATTATGGGGTGAGATTAGCGATACAAAATTCACTTAATTGCTCCAACAATTTTTTTCGTATAAATGGCGATAACAACATTATTGAAGGGGACTTAAAGCAAATGATGAGGCTATGTTCTACCTAATTTCTCCAATTATAACATTTTCGATTAAATAACTCTTCATTTGCATATAATTGCTTGTTTAAACTCAGTATACTATCCAAGGGGAGGGTCTAAAATTCTGGAATATGGGCAAATATGCGTCAAACACAACTGGGCCATCAGGTTTTCACAGATGCTTATAAGGAGCCGATTCAAAATTTCCCTGTAATCTTTAGTATTTCAATTCATCTACATTCCCAGAATTCCTTTTCCCTACAAACTCCACAAATACCTTTCATTCTTCAATTGAAACATCCCTACACACCTTAACCCAAAATGAACCAAATACCAATATTTTGACACCTCGTTGTGCATCGATTCGCAGTATTCATATCTGTACTGCTAAAGAACTGTACCTTTTGTGGTGGATGAATCATTGTCTGTTCCAAATATAGAATCTCTACTTATCTGTAAACTCAGGTGGGATCTTACCTGCGCATTTCCTTATTGAATACACCTTTAGTTAGACAACAATACTGGCCTTACGTCACAAAATGAAAATCATTTGCTTTAGAAAAATTATCTCACAAAAGGTGGGACTGTGTCAAAATACAAGAAGAGGGTCCTTGAGAAATAATTTCCGCCGTTCTCTAGACAGTTTAAGCCCCACAATACGACAAGCCCCACATACACCTTTCTTCTGAAATTAACAAAGGTTCGGGTGTTGAAAATTACTCAGAGGCTGAGTGATTTCTGAAATATTCAAAAAAGTAATTCATCACTTAATGGGTTTTGCAAACCAATAGCAACAAAAATTGACAACATTTACAAGGCAAAATTATCCTTTTGTAAACTCAAACACGCTAAGATCCAGACAAAGCACATATAATAACTTTTAGATTTACAGTTAATTGTAAAATTTCATCCGTTCTGCTTGAAAGCTTAGTCACAAATAGTAAAACTGTGAATGAATTTAAGCATAAATAGTGCAGGTTGCTTTTACTTGTTGTTTATACAAACAAATGCTCGAGTTTGTCTTCCCAACTGGCGTATCTCTGAACAACACAGGCCTCCTTAAATACAGCATAGAACATTAAGCCTTCACGGCAAATAAACCTTTGCATTGGGCCAACAGATGCCAAACCAAAAATAAAATCAACTCTTTTTGGTTGTTGATTGCTGACAAGAAGAAGTTCTGAATTGGGTATTCAGTAAATTGAAAATTCAATAACTGCTTTTTGAAAACTTTGAAAACTCATCTGATATATTTGATTGGTTAATTTTATAAGAATTAAAGCAAACAGGCAGATTTAATTTGAACTCTTTAGAGAATTTAAGGTCTGTAAACTCCAGTCACCGCTAACTGCAATACTTTGTGAGTATAAACAACAATGTAGAGGAAATTTTGGCAGGTTGTATCTATAATCAGGCTGTTCAGCAGCATTACGAAAATCTTTCCTGTTATTCAATTGAATGACGAGGTAGTGTAACCTGCTTGAAGACTTAAAAGCGAAACAATTAAATTGATAATAATGGCTTGAATACCAATGTGTTTTAATTATGAAGGACGAAGCCACAAAATTTAACGCATTGATAACTCAGTTTGGCTACAAATAATATTGGTTAGTTACCCAGATTGGGGTAATGTGCATCAATCTACAACTTAACACGATCTAACAATATCTACAACTTAATCATGTGAAATGTATGGAAGTCTAGAAATGGCAAGAACTAGATTCTAAAGAAACTGCTTTGATTATAAAATTTGAAAACCAACCTGCCAGTGTTAACATACAAAAGCTTACAAAGTAGTGACTTGTGGGCTAACAAACACATTCAATTTTACCAAAGTTTTTGGATTTCAGATTGTTGAAGAGAAAGCTTTCAAAAGGATTTCTGGAGGCAAATATTTCAGTAGTGCTTTCAATAATACTGTCATAATAACAGAACTGTTGTAAACTAGAGACTGGACAGACCATACTACAAACAGGATTACTTTGCACAGAACCAATCAACTCATTGCATGAGGGAAATTCATCTAGTTTTTCAATGTTGTGATAACAATTAAGCAGATAACCCAAACTTTTGCTCTCAAAAATTCTGTTATGCCATTACCGCATCCTTGAACCAACCAAACGCGATGATAATTATCTTCAAAATAAACTTCAAGGATAGGCAAGAGGGCAAAATATGCTTGGAATATCTGGCCAAAACATTTTATTAACAGAAAATTTTATAAGAGTATTGAAATTCGTGAAAGTTAAGAATTAAGTTAGAATAACAGCCAGGCTTGAATTTCAACAACAGTTTTACTTTTTGTCTTTAGTAGATCTTTAATCACACAAGACAAGCGTGCCTTTAACGTAAAAAGTTTGAGTAAAATACATAAAGCTTGTACTTTAGAAGTGAGTATGTTTCGTTTCCAAATAAGTTTTCGTCATGGAGAAAGCCAGTAGCCAAGGTGATCTAATCTAAGAGCAATTTTATGCTCAAAATCAAATTTTTAACAATACTGACGATCAGAAAAAATCCAGCAATTCTTATAAAAAAGCTTCTTCCTTGTTGAATTGTCTACTAAAGAATCTTTTTCTCGTTTTGTCTGCAACACTCCAGACAAAAAGATTTATCAGTTTTTTCTTACCGTAATTATATTCTTAATATCTTAAATTGTTGGAAAACCCTCCCCCGCCCCTTGCTCGAGTTCGCATTTATTTGAGAAAACTATACAACACCATCCACTTGAGAGCTGAAGCGATCATATGAATTAGAATGCCAATTCAATAGATTCTAGATAAAATTTCATATTCTTGTCGTGCTTGAATAAGCAACCAGATAAGTTGCTTTTTTATAGAGATATTTATCTAGTCTTTTGAAAGATTCTACTAAACTTTTGTTTAAAATTTAATTAGCCAAAAGCCATAACTTGACGATTCCATGGCAGATACTGCAAAATATTTTTTCTATTACTGCACATCATTAATTTGATTGTAAATTACCAGATTGCAAATGAAATCTGTTTGATGTTATGACCAAAGCCCATTACGACCTGTTGATTGCAAACTCTAGCGAAACTTCACGCGACATTCATTCGCGCTTGCCTTGAGTCGCGTAAATTATTGACAGTGGAATTCTCTGATAACGTGAAAGATTTCACAACAGGGAAAGGTTTTCTGACATATTTTACAATTTATAACAATAGCTTGGGATATAACAGTATATTGCCTTTTACCTGATTGAAGCTACCAATCTGTAGTAAACGATTAATTCGGCCATGGTGCCATAGTATGTTTGTTCACCTGTCGCCTCGTCCCTACCAACTTCTAAAATTGCGGATTGTGTTGAACAAGTCGATTAAGAGTCGCTCGAGTGTGGCATTTATAAAATGTTTTACAGTGGAAAAACGATTTATTGTACGTTGTGTAAACACAATGTTTGTGGATCGAATTTATTCCACAAAAGTTTATTGTTTTTTTTGATTGATTTGCTTACCAAAGAACTGGCTAATAAAGAACTCTATTTGTTAAGAAGTTTCTCCAGTAAATTCGTTGCTTATCAGCCGAATCGATTGGAGAAAATTGTCTATTATAGCTGGTTTAAACCCAAAGGACCGTCTAACGTTGAAAGATCAAGAGGTACAAGCTTTAAATGTTAGGTGACTTATGAGAATATAATGTGTGAAACTTCTGATTGAATTATTTAATGTAAGTTGGTAGCAGCAGGAACTTTTGCTTAGCTTTGAATAGAATGCCTGTTGATCTGTCGGTCAATACAGAAAGGGGGAAGGACTCCCGCGGGCCATTCCAATTGCCGTTAACCATGCCGGACTAACAATAAACAGCTCCGCAATTCACACTATCACATTCTGCGTGAAAAAGTAAATTAAGTCATTCGCTAATTTTGACAAGGAAGGTTAAAAGATCTAAATGAAATCTGGGTAAACGACCATCTGCGTGTTGACTCCAGCGACGGTGCTGAAATGTAAGGCTTTCCTTGGCCATTAAATCGTGAAAGGCGAGGTTTAAGTTTTGTTTGCATTAAAGCAACAATAATAGCAATGTGATACAGAGAGCCGCGAGTTTCAAGGATTTAGCAACACCTCTGAACCTCGCGAGGGAATCCCTGTCGATTCTCGCATCTCACATCCACGTACAGTGTCGCCGCAAGTTTGTGAAATCAAATCCTAGTATTTCGCACGTCAAGAAGAAAGACAAGCTGCGGCAAAGCGATCTTGCCGGACTTATGCTAGTCTGATGAATTCTAAGGACTTCGCTGCTTAAAGCCCTTAAAAACTATAACGATTTAAATATTTGTGTTAATTCCTTCCTCGGTCACAGGAACAAACTGTTCCAATCTCATGAAATTTGTTTAGGCAATATCAGCAGAGTTTATCGAATAATCAATGCTGTATCGATGCAGTATCGTGTGATTTAAGTAGAATCGGTCAATTCTATACACGTTACAAGATAGGTCTTCGATCAAATAGGATAATAGATATGCGTTGCCTTGTCGCCCCTAAATGATTTTACCAAAATCGAGCACAATAAGGAATTGAAGTATCATACCTCTAGATCTTCTAAAGTCGCGTATGAAACCATAAGGAAACCATCAATAACATCTTCCTCAAACGATATCTTTCTTTTGCGGCTTTTCTTCGATTTGAGTTGTGAATTTTCCCTATCCTCTGCTGTCTCGATCGATGTCTGGCTTTCAAGACAGTTCTCGTCCTCTTTCGTCGCCATTTCTTCACGTTTCACCTGTGATTTCGCCTTCTTTTTGGCACTCAACTTCTTCTCCATACTTCAAAATATAAGTAAGGCCCCTTTTGTGGGGTCTGATCTGATATATAAGTGCGTTAGAGTTGTACTTAAACGCGTGCTTCCTCGCCGAGACCTGCCCTAGTTCAATGGCTGGCAGTGTGGCGGCTTCTCAAAAGACACAGTGATTGACAAGTGAGAAGTTGAACAAGGAATACCATACCGCCTCTTATTGTTCTCGAGATCACTCTAGCTGTCATTCATCGCCAGGTGGCTATATACAGGCTTCCAAGGATCGTTTTGAGCATAACAGTTTACAGATATTTGTGTAACATTAAGAGTGCCATATAGCAGGATATTTCACGATTTCAAGATCGATGTTTTCAGCTCATTAGCTTTTAAGTAAGACAGCTCTCTGATTGCAAGCGAATGGCTTCTGATAATTAAGCCAGTCTGTATAATCAGCTAGCCTAGCACGCTAGATAAAAAATCAAAGGTTAGTCACTGGAGTTGTTTATAAAACAGAAATAAAACTTTGTTTTGCTACATGAAATTCATGTTTGCGTTAGCAATCACAAGAAAATGCAATCACAAGGAAGGCATTGTATTTGCCCAATGTTTCTTGGTTTCGATTGAAACTGCCAGGAAGTCGATATCTGTCAAGTTAGACATATTTATTTAATCAATTTTAAATAATTCCAATTATTAAGTTAGTAATTTATGCAAGGTTATTGGAAGTGACACAGGTAAGTTATACCTTTCCACAAAATTTTGTTTCTTGACATCCTTGTTTAAATAAAAGGATGCCGCAAGCGGGCTGATTCATCTTACAAATATTCCAGATTTTGTATCTCATTTTAAGCATTCTCTTAATTACTTGCTGTTTGCATTGTTGCAGAGTTTATGCTTTGTTTTACAGGACCACCATGTTATGCATCTGGCAACAATCGAATGCTATCGGTGAAAGTAGGTCCACGGGAGCTGGAAGCTGGGCGGGGTGTATTTCACTTGATTATTCAGGGGGCCACGCCTTAAGCTTCAGAGTGGAGGGGGGTGACTAGACGAAGGAGCAGAAAAGTTTTGCTATCAAGCATTTTTCATAAGAGCACTTAAACATTTGGTGAGCTGCTCCAGACCTGTCAACCCTCCCGGTCTTGCGGGGAGACTCCAGGGTTTGCTTGCTTTCTCCCGGTCTCCCGGTTTTTTATGATTTTCTCCCTGTTTTTTCTTGTCTTTCAGCAGAGGTTTTCTTTTAGCAAAAAAGATTGAAATTACTTTCTTCGTGGCAAAGTTTTTTGTTGGTGTTTAAAAATTAAAGAAAACGTAAAATCTATTAGGAAGGCGCTACCCATGATAATTGTTGTCATTAACTGTTTGCCCAACATGACTTTGATGCACTAGAGGGTTTGGTGCTATGGGGGCTTGGGGCTTTGGGTGCTCAGATGCTTCGATTGAATAAGGTTTTGTCAATTTAGTTATGGTGACTCATTACAGGTTGTTAAATATGACAAGGATTATTGCGATCAGCAGACAAGGATTATCGATGAGACTGCTGCCTGATGTAACAGTGAGTTTTCCAACTTAGGATCGTCCTGTTTCGTTCACCAGAGCGTGCGCAGCTCTGCTTCTATGGCACCGAGAAATATGTGACCGACCGGTAAACAGTAATTTTCATAATCTGAATTACACTCTTTTTTATCAGAACCAGTAAATTTAAGTTCAGGATTATTGTTCTTAACTATTACGAAAATCTGAGGCTGGATTGTTCTTTATTTGTTCTCTAATAGGGTGTAAGCAGTGCGAGTGCTAGCTTTTTCGCTCTAGGGTGGTGTACAGGCCTCATTTGCCAACAGAGTGAGTGAGAAAGCCTGAATTCGCTGACAAATTTGAATATTCACCGAAAAAGCACCCAAACATGGCTAAAAATCCTCGATTTTGAGAAAAAACGTTGTTCAAAATTACATTTTGCAGAAGCCCTTTATTTGTTCTTGACTTATGAGCTCGTGTTTTTATATAAAAAAAGTGTATAGATTACAAATGATATGATATCTAAGCTTTTTGTAATTAAAATAGCGAAAGAAATTTCAGACGTTTCTTTTTGTGTAAAACGACAGAATTGCTCATTTGTTGATTCTAACGATCCTAAGCAAATTACAAGTAACTGGTGTTTTTTGAAATCCAATTGAAATTGTGATTGCAAGCGCTTAAAATTTAATTTTCGATTTTACACAAAATTAATCTTCATTTTATCTTAAACAGCTTGATACATTGCATGTTCTTCTTTATTTTCTTTTAAAAAACAAAGTTACGCTGGCTATCTTCCTTCTTGGACTTTCTTTTTGAATCATCAAAGCTTTTTAGGCTAATGATTTTATTGCGGAGCAGAGTTGGTTTTTGAAATGCTGCAGTGAAGAAAAGAAGTAAAGAGACGAGAGAAGTAAAGAGAATTCAGCATGGATGGATGGAGTAGCCTGAGTCCCAGACCTCTGAGTTCCAGATCTCTGAAAAGTAATGATCTAGGGCTCCGGCTGCCAGGCTAGGTTGGAGGCTACCCTCACAAGTCAAAATGCTTCAAGGTCCATTTTTCATATCTAAGGAGACCTTTTTGTTGAACTCATAATACCAAGCTTAAAAACCACTTGTCATTTATCAGTTATCCATGAAAGGTCCCCAATGAAAAGATAAGGCGCCTTTGATACTCTTTTTGCTTAGTAGGCCCGGTCTAGCTGCCCTCTCTTCAATTTGCCTCCCAAGACCATGCACTTTGTTTTCGCGCTTCACTTTCAATAAATAATTGTTATACACAGATATATATGTATATATATTTTTTTAAACTCGTGTTTGGTTTTAAACCAGTTTAATGAAGCATACAAGGTTTTTTATGTAAGGAACCACTTTATAAGGTACCTACTATCAGAAGACTGAAAAATGTTAATAACTTGTGCTACTTAACACAAAATCCCCACGAAATTTTCCGATAATGAAAATTTTCATCAGTGCAGACTATCGAGTATTAGGATGCCAGTTTCATTTAGTTGCGGTCAAAACTGACATAAATTGTTTGTTACCCGTTTATATGGTTCATTAAGTAGCTGAGGGTGTTTGTTTACTATAAACAGCAACATTGAGACCGGAAAGTATTCCATGAAACATTCGATAAAAAAGTTATGTGTAGTTAAAAGAACTTCAGGAACTAGGCCTCTATTGTGACTTTGTTCAGTAGCTTTATTTATCCGAAATTTTTCCAACCGGATGAAGGCAAATATGATTATAGGGGGGAATAAAGATAAAAGCAATCTGTGCTATCTAATTACAATAAAATGAAAAACTTTAATCATACCAGTGACATGCGTGGGCAGGTTACATTAAATCGGACACAGTCTAATGTTGGTCGGTGAACTTTGCGTCGAATTATCAACCAAAATAAAAGGACGGTTTTGGATTTTATAGTCTTTACAAAGGAGAGCGAATAAACATATACCGTTCTTGGGATTAGTTGATTTTCGGAAGGCCCTTGCAAAGTGTGTCTTTAAAAAATGGTCGAGTGGCTCATTGCTATAACAAATTCAGCAGCAGGATAAACCAGACCAAGGACGCGCGGATCTCTGAAATCTGGAATCTTGGACAAAGATTCATGACCTGTATCAGTCGCGTATGCAGTCGCGTTTTGCTCTCGAGATTTTTCTAAAAGCGAAAAAATTCCGCACGTTTAAGGATGACTCCAGGTGATGCATATCACATTAAGAAAGATTCATTACATGTTGACGTCACTGAGAGATGCTCGATCGCTACATTTTGAAAATACAGATGCATGGAGCATACGACGTGTTTAGGACTTATCCCCCCACCTCCTACCCCTACAAACATTTTCATACTTAGCTCCTGAAAAGAACTCGTCTTCTTTATTTTTGTTTATTTTTGTACTAAAAGCATCAAAGGTTTCTTCAATATCAAGTACAAATAAGCTACTTTTAAGAATCACGAACACTTAACTATGGCAACTATAAACAGGAGACCCAGAATCAGTCTCAAGGAGATTTCTTTCTGAACCAGAAACTGGTACCCAGACTGACCTGGTCAATTGAACCAAAAAACTGGTACCCAGACTGACCTGGTTAATTGAACCAGAAACTGGTACCTAGTTGCCTATAAAAATACTTTCATCATATTTCTGAGCATTTTCCTGATGCTGAAGATGAGAAGTAGCTACCATATGGTCATCGGAGGACTCGGTTTCTTATAAATGGTTTCTTTTAAAAAATATAATGTAACCATAACTAACATAGTGTGCAAGGAACCCCAATATTTTCTTCTAGCCAGGTTTCATTGAGACAAGACACTACCGTGCTATCAAGAAACATGTTGCTGTACCGTAGCTTAGCCTATCATACACTAGGTGGCAAGATCGAAGGGGCAACTAAGTCAATGGGTGGCGTCCCTTCTTGAAAACTATTTAGAAATGAGTTATGTCACTAGTTTTGCCTTAACTAAATTTTTTAAGGGGACGAACAGGAGAAAGTCTTTTGGTGAATGAAAAACCGTCCGCCCTAAATTCAAAGAGCATGAGCATGGAACGAAGTCATTATTGGATGCGCTTTGACTCCTGGACGGATGGTTGCCTCACACATTTGAAGATTTTCTCTTGTTCGCCTACCCTACAAAATTGCTCATTTTAACCTTTCTCGACAATTTGCCACCCCCATTTGCCCCATTTCGCTATGTTATTGTTGCTGCATAATCAGCAGCAACATTTGAGCAGCGCTTCCGCCTTGGATCCCCAACTCCTTAGCAAACAGCAGGTTGCTGTTTTATGGGTAAAACTGGTCCATCTGGGTCATCAAAGTTACACGCCCTCAACTTTTAGGGGGCGACCGCCCCCAGCTTTTTTCAAATTATCCGTTGAAAAACATTTTTAAGCGCTTTTGTCAGTAAATTTTGTCATTTTTCGGCAGATTTGCTTGTTTTTGTGAGCTTTTCGCTCCACCCACCAGAAAAATGCATTTCCGCCACTAGTACCTACTGACATTTTAATTGATTTTACATTAACACTTACTTGACATTTAGCATAATGACCTCAGGCAAGGTGAGAATGATAGTTGATATGCCTTCTAAAAACACGACAAGGAGTGGTCGGAAAGATGACCCCTTCTCAGGAACGGCCTTCCAGTTAAATTTCTACCCTTCCCC